ATACCATCATATCAAAATGAGTGGTTTCTGATGTCTAATAGCAATACTACTATTGTAGTGAACAGAACATGGGTTGGTACAATCGAAATATATTTAGCACAAAATTACAGAGTAACTTGGTAAAATAGAAAAACCATACTATAATACTTAATTTGCAATATGTTCAATAATTGTCTCGAACTTCGTTGTTCTTGCATTTCCATACTAATTGCTTTCTATTCCCGCTTTTTCTTTTTTGATCTTCCCCATCTTCTTCTGCCAGACATTACATTCCTGACTCGCGTCATATACTACTTATATCAACATAAGTTGCACGCACCACACTACTACTACTGTTACTAATGCTTACTTTCACTACTCAATCTTTGTAGGAATTCATTTATAGTTCATGTAGCTTATTGATAACTTACCTCACTGTTGTATTATAATCTGATTTTGCCCAATATTTAACATGTAAATAAAATAAATTACAATTAATAGATTGAACTTATGAATTGACCAATAGTTAAACCATTTAGTTTTATTCTCAGTGCATATAAAGCAGATAATCTTTATAAGATCTCATGAGGATTTCATAGCCATCTGAAATGTTCATCCCAATACACTCCGAACGCGAACGCTTAATGTCTAGACCATTGAGTCAGTATCCAATAGATGTTAATGTCTAACCTCAACCAATCCACGAAATTATGCGACCATCTTTCATTGTACTGAGGTAGATACCTGTCTCTACTTGACACGGGTTAGCTCCTCTGGTTACGACTTCTCAGTAGAACTCCGAAAAGTCCCTAACGAAGCTAGTCACTAGTGAGCACTTGGTAATTATCAGTATAGGGTTGTGAAGATGATTATATTCGTGATTGAGATCATGAACCGATTAATGCCAGACCACCATAGAAAGCCTGGAAGCACCAGACGGCTGTTTCGCTCTATTGTGGGACTCCTCAGCAATGGGCATCCACGATCCCGCCCGGGAGATTCGAATGATTTGACTCAAACAACCTATAACTTCTTGAAATGAAATTACATTTTGTCTTGGTTAATGCTTTATTATGTTACTTGATATCTATAAATGGTAGACACTGACCGAGCATACACAAATTTCATTGCAACTATCTTGTGTAATTTATCTAAATAATGGTAATCAACTTTCGAGATCTCCAATAGAAAAAAGGTCTTGATCTAATGTGCATCGGTTGGTTATCTGCATTTAAATTGAGGTTGCTCTAGAGACATTCTACTTCTGTGGGTCACTTCTGTATCTGTTCTATCTTTCTAACGTCAGTGAATTCGTGATATTGTGAGGTCGTTATTCTTTAGTGTTGATGGGTGTCTCACTCTTGATATGGCTGAACTCCATCAAAGTTAGTTTTTTCTTTTAAATTACTAATATACCTTACTAAAATGCATCATCTTCATGGGAAAACAATAAACTGTGTTTATTTTCACGAATTGGCTTGTGTATCTTATAAAAGACTACCTTCTTGATGATCTTTACTTACTTACATACTTACGCCTGTTACTCCTAATGGAGCATAGGCCGCCGACCAGCATTCTCCAATCCACTCTGTCCTGGACCTTCTTTTCTAGTTCCATCCAATTTTTGTTCATTTTCCTCATGTGTATCTCCATTTCCCGGCGTAATGTGTTCTTTGGTCTTTTTCTTCTCCTTTGACTTTGAGGATTCCAAGTGATGAGGGCTTGCTTTGTGATACATTTGGGGGCTTTCCTCAATATGTATCTTATCTCCTTCTAGCATTTCTTTATGATTTCTTCCTCCGCTGGGATCTGGTTTGTTCTCTCCCACAGTTGGTTGTTGCTAATAGTGTCTGGTCAACGGATCCGAAGTATTTTGCGTTGACAACTGTTAATAAACACCTATATCTTCTGGATGATGGTCTTCGTAGTTATCCAGGTTTCCGCTCCATACAGTAGAATTGTGTTGACATTTGTATTGAAAATCCCGACCCTGGTGTTGATTGACAGAAATGAGGCTAAGGATTAAAAGTTATCACTAGAGTGTAGGTTTAGAAGTTTGTTTTAGAATGTAGATTAAATGGTAGAATTAGGGTTGTAGTTAGGAATAAAAGAATGGAATACGTTGTCATCATATAATTGAATATTGATGCGGTTAGTTCTTTCATTTTAAATTTTAGGAAGTTTTATTTTATTTTAATAGTTGAGATCATGAATCAATTGAAGATAGACCATCAACATATGCTTACTAGTGACTGGTTTCAAGAGGTATTTCCTGGAATTCTAGTGAGGAGCAGTGGCCAATAGAATTCAACCGGGTCTGTTGTGAGGATAGTAACTTACTGAAGACAATGGTAGATGTGTCGCGCAATTTCGTGGATTAGTTAAAGTTAAACGTTAACAGTGTTGGATGTCGGCCGGCTTAGTGTTCTAAAGGTTAAGCATTGGCGCATTTAACGGTGACATAAATGTCATTTACATACTGTAACCAAACTTTAGTTAAATTTACACATTTCGTGATTTCATTTGTTTCTAAGGAATGTATCAATAAATTTGCTACGACCACAGAAACTGGTGAATCCATTGCCATACCTTTCTGTTTGTAAAGATATCAGAATAAGAGTAAGGTCAATCATCAATAGAATTCCAAACACATAATAAACTCGAAAAGATCTAACGAATATTGTAAGTTGTTGAAATCTGAGTCAGATTTTAAACAATCTTAAGTAATGTCTAGTACTTTAGTGACAGATACATTAGTAAATAAGAAAGAAACCCCAATGACTCGGTACGGCCGAGAGTGTGGAGAGTCCGCTCTCCCTCTCGAAATGCCCTCACATGGCCACGCCTATACAGCCTCTGCCAGGGAAGTCCCTACTCACTGCCTTCTCGCACCACAAGTGTTGTTTACAAAATTGAGAGGACGAAAAACGAATGTCAGGCGCTTTAACCGGGTTAATGGTCACGGAGAGTTCACGTAGAGGAGTTGGAAAACCCTCATTCGAAACCAATGGTGCACATGGGCTCCAGTACCCTTAGGGAACAAATGTTGTATGAACCAATTGTTAGTCACCGACTTTCCATCAGTTCCATTGTCTTCCATGTGAATGATGTCCATATTATTCTTGAAATTAATAATGTTGAATTCTATAATTAACCAATTTGTCATATGGTTTGAGATATATTCGTTGCCTAATTTCTGTCAAACTATTTGTTCAAATATTGACGAATATTCATATAATCCATAAAGTTGTTGTCTGTCGGTTTAAGTCATGTTGGTTGATGAAGACTATCTAATTATAATAATCGTAATCAATGGTTAGATAAGTTGAATAACATATCTCAGAATCTGTGTCAGTAGTACGTTACTGCTATTCGGACAGCTTTTTTTGTCTTGTTAATGCTATGCTCACTTTGTTGATTTTGTATTATGGTAACTTAGATCATAAACTCCGCCTTTCGTTGTTTTAGAGCTATCGTGAGTTCGAAGCCCAAGTAAAGGAGGAGGGTTAAGCATGGGGTCATCATTTTATTCTGTAGAAAAAAACCTTGCTAAAAAAATTGATAACTAGAATAAGTAAGTCAGTTAGATGATTATACATCTGTCCCAAATCTTACATTAACTCACTTACTTGGTCTTTTTTCAGCTACTAATTATTATTAATATTTTGATATTAACCATAAAAGAGGTACATTAAATCAGATTTCATATATAATTGTTATGAATATTTGTACTAGTAATACTGTCATGTGTGCTACTGATATCGATAGATATGAGTAGTATGTATCATCAATCAAAAGTCAAGTACCTGGAGGCAGAAGGTTAAGAGAATAAAAGAAAAGAGTATGAGAACAGACAATAATTGATGTGGAAATGAAATAACAATGAAGTCTAAGATGATTGATGAACATTTTGCAAATAAAGTGCTTACCGTATTGTTCTCACATATTACTAAGATATTCTGTAATGTTATATTGAAATACATTTGGTTGTCCCCACTTGTGTTGTCGTTCATTACAATGCTAACCGGTTAGGAGATGAGGATTGAATCTATCAGTTCAATAGCTAGAATTGATCTGTTTTAACTCTTAAAATCATTACTCTATATAGAATGATTATTTCATTAAAACAACATATATAAGCGAACAATCTGGGTTTTCGATTAGATCCTCATCAGGCCTTACTCTAAGATACAGCAATGTATTTATATATGTATATACGAAATGAATTAAACCAATGAAGGCAGTTTATGAGTCCATGATTACAGTGAAATAGATTACATAAATAAGTGAAAAGTATAAATTGGTAGTGTGATGATAGGTGGACTAGTTGTGATAAGAATGATAAAGGCTTACAATCAATGTTACATAATGGGAAATAGGTCAATGATTCGAAAAAAATAGAGACAATGAAATAACATTCATAGAAAGATTATAATATTACGTAATAAAAAAGTGTTTAGATAGCTGGACCGTAAAACGTATATTTCAAAGAAAATTGTGGGAGGCGGTGAAGAAAATAATGATAAACGACGAGAGAGTGAAAGAGAGTATGGAAAGTATGATCAATAAATCATTTCACTGGTTGAAATCATGAGTCAATTGAGCTAGATCACCATGGAAAACCTGGAAGCACTGGACGGCCGTTTCGTCCTACTGTTGGACTCATCAATGACAGTGCGCATCCATGATCGCGCCCCCGGCGAGACTCGAACCCAGGATCTATGTCTCGCGCCAGGTGCTTAACCAATTAGACCACTGAGCCGGCATCTAACGGTGTTACTGTCTAACTTCAACCAATCCACAAAGATGCACCACCGTACACCACTGTCTTCAGTGAGTTACTATCTCACAACTGACCTGGTTGAACTCCACTGGTAACGACTTCTCACTAGAACTCCAGGAATATCTCTTGAAGTCAATCACTAGTGAGCATTGTTTATCATTTATATCCAAAATACTCCTTTTCGATCCATTTTTTATTTGTATTTTTGTTGTTGTTATCTTATTTACAGAAGAGAATTATGCAATATCCAATACTAAGACAATTATGCTTTGTTACATATTCTTCTATTCTCAAATCTAAATCCTATAATCATTCTTATTGGATACAACAATATTCTACTTCACCTATTTATATTTATCCCTTAACAAAATCTATACCATTATGTTTACCTAAAATATTTGATCAACAATTTATTACTAATTATTGTCATATAAATCATTTACCATGTTATTATAATCATGATCAAATTATTAGTAAATTACCTAGAGTTCAGTCAACACGTCGTGCTGAACTATTACATAATCAATTATATAATAATAGTACTGATCATACTGATCATGATCATGATCATCATAGTGATCGGATCAAATCTTTATCCACATCTCAATCATCATTTCATCAACATCAATCACGTCAATCTATCCAAATTGCATTATATAATTATGTATTAAATAATTTACTTGGTTTATCTAATCTACAATCTACATTGAATACTCATAATCATTCTATACCATTCTTATTAGATCTTGGTTGTGGGATCAATCATTTAGATATTATCAATCATTATTTATTAACTATATCGAATTTTAATCAAAAATTCATACCATTATGTATTGATCTATTCAATAATAATAATAATAATAATAATAATAATAATAATAATAATAATAATAATAATATCACTACTCCTACTCCTACTCCCACTCCCACTCCCACGCCCACTCCCACTCCCACTCCTACTCCTACTACTACTACTACTACTACTAATAATAATAATAATATTAATATCACTACTCCTACTCCCACTCCTACTCCTCCTCCTACTACTACTGATAATAATAATAATAATAATAATAATAATAATAATAATAATAATAATACTATCACTCCTCCTCCTCCTCCTCCTACTACTACTACTACTAATAATAATACTATCACTCCTCCTCCTCCTCCTCCTCCTCCTCCTACTACTACTACTACGACTACTCCTCCTCCTCCTAATACTGATACTGCTACCACTACTACTACTACTACTACTACTACTACTACTACTACTACTACTACTACTACTACTAATACCAATACTAGTAGTAATGGTAATGATATATTCAATTATAATATCCATTTAATCAAATGTAATTTAATGAAAGATGATATCATAACAACTGGATCACAATTATTACCATTTAGAGATCATTCTATAGATTATATTATATCGATATCATTCTTACAATGGTTATTAGGGAAAGATAAATCATGGTATATGATCAAACAATTAATGAATGAAATTAAACGTTTATTAAATCCATCAATTGGTGGTCAATGTATATTACAATTTTATCCAAGTCAGCTAATTGATATTCAATTAATTAGTGAAATCATTGAAACAATTCAATCGAATTTCTATGGTTGTTTATTAATTCATCAACCCATAGTCAATCGTGGTATGAAAATCTTTATTTATTTAACATATAAATGATTCATTGCAATGTGTATTATGTTTTGCTTGTTTATTATTGTTTGTTTATGTAATAAACTATGTATATCAGTTGAGATGGAAAGTTTAAGGTTCTCGATTCTATTTGATGCAAGATCATGGATGCGCACTGATGAGGAGTTACACAATAGGACGAAATAGGTGTCCAGTGTTTCCATGTTTTTCACTGGTGATCTAGATTTAGTTGATTCATGAATTCAACTATTATATATATATATATATATATATATATATATATATATCAGTCCTCAACAACGTAGAACTTCGTACGTACGTACATCAGTTTGAGTTGCCACACCATATTAGCACATAGATACAATTGTTGATTCAAATCTCGTAGTGATAGACGTCGTACAATTATAAGCGATAATCGGCAATATGAGGGTTTGAAGATGTTATTCAAGGAACATAATCTAGTGAAATAAATTTGGAAAAAGAAAAAAGAAACGGACATGAGGAATTTAGAAGATTAGAATTTTGGACAACGTAAAGAATGGATGCACCTGCGCATTGCAAACGGATTTAAGACATGTTATTCAAGGTCTCTAACCATCGGTTGCTATCATCTCGCGGTCTCCAACCAGGTAGTCTACACCTACCAACATGACTCAGTCCACTTGTCAGTGACTTTATGGCTTTGTGCCATGTTTTTGGTCTGGCTGCCCCTGGCTTTCTTCCAACCTACTCCTACACCTTAAAGCATCGCATGTCGGGGCAGTCGGTAATCGGGCATACGTAACACGTGTCCCAGCCATCTCAACTGATAAAGTTTCACTACTTCAACAATTGATTTGCCATCCTTATCTAGTACTCATTTCCTAGCAACTGCATTAGTTACTCGATGGTCTCAGAATATACGAACAATGCATCGAAGACACCTATGATCGAATACTGGTAACCTACGGATATCCTCTACTCTTACCGGCCATGTTTCACCGCCGTAAAGTAGGATAAAACGAACTGCTGCTCAGTAAATACGTCGTTTGGTTGATAGAAGGATATCTCGCCTACGCCATAAATGACGCAAGTTGGTAAAAGCTAGTCGAGCCTTCTGTATCCGTGCCGAGACTTCGTCACACACCAGACCACAAGGGTTGATGAGACTTCCGAGATAAGTGAAGCGGTCTACGCGCTCAACTACTTCACTCCCTATCATTAGTTCAGGTGTCGATGCAACCCAATCCTGAAGCAACATTTTACATTTCGAGGGGGCGAATCGCATCCCGAACATGCTTGCATTGTTGCTTAGAGTGGTCACAAAACTCTGCATTTTGTCAGTGTCTTCCCCAAATAAAACTATGTCATCAGCACATTCCAAGTCAACAAGTGAATCTCCTGGTAGAAGTTCAACCCTTGGAAATTTAGATGAGGGAAGTGTTATCTCTAAAAGCACGTCAACGAAAAAGTTAAATAAGAATGGAGAGAGTGGACAGCCCTGACGAACACCACTCGAGGTAATCAACTCTGATGACAGTTCGTCATAAGCTCTCACTCTACCAGTTGTGTTCGAGTAGAGAGCTTTTACAAGGTTAATGTACTTCTTTGGTACTCCTTTCAGTGACAAACACTGCCATAGAACCTTACGATCAACAGAGTCGAATGCCGCCTTAAGGTCGAGAAATACTACGATTGTGGGGCGTCTGAATGTGTGTCTCTGTTCTAAAACCTGATGTAGTGTTAAAATCTGGTCTATACAACCACGTCCAGGTCGAAAATCAACCTGATTTTCTCTAGTCTGTTGTTCACGAGCTTTAGTTAGGCGTCGAAGTATTATTGAAGCTAATATTTTAGACACTATATTAGTCAAACTGATTCCTCTGTGATTGTCACAAGAGGACTATTGTCCTTTCTCATAGACTGGCACAATCAGTGATTGAGACCAGTCAGATGGGATTACGTCCAGTTCCCAAATTCTGCCTAAGAACCCAGTCAATCTCACTGCTAATATATGTATGTATATTTTTAAGAAAAATATACTTTTTTTGCTGTCCTTTTACCTGTGTTGTTTTAAGCAAAAAGCACGAAAAAACTAGATTATCATCGAAAACTTGAACGCACTGAATAACTGTTCCGTCCTAAGTATGGAACCATACATCAATGAGTATCTACCATTACGTAACTGGCAGTCGAACCTGGGACCTCTCTCGCACGCAAACATTTAACCTCTAGACCATCGATCTGGCATCCAATGGTGTTCAAACAATTCTTGATCTCAAGTTGAAACACCAAGAGTTCTAGTGAGAAACTCTGATCAGTGGTATTCAACCATGTTGGGTGTAAGATAGTTAGGCAGCACAAACAATCGAAGATGGTTGCTGAATGCTACGAAATGATCGAAGTTGTGATTGTAAACAATGGGATGGCAACTCAGTGGTTTAAAGCTTGGGTTCTATCCGTGGTGGGTTCGAAGATGCTCATCATTGAGAAGTCTTATACATGGTTGAAATAATTATTCGCTTTTTCTTGGTTTTTAGCCTGACAATTTTCATTGACCCTTAACAATAAAAATGAGTTTATTCATTATTATAAATGAAAATTGATCGCTTCCAGCGCTAATTTTCAACTGAATTCTAGTTTCATTTATTCATGAACAAATGCAGTACATAAAGACAAATTTACTTTTAAAGATGATTTAGTTAGAACAGTCAAGGAATACTTATATGAAATGCCATTAGTCATGAGGTACCTTGCGAAGACGAAAAATTCGTCGATAATTTTTTGAATCTTCATCAAATAAGATGACGAATCATTGAGATAGTGTCTGTGATAGGAATACGTTTGAAGTAAACTAATTTGTCTTTAGCAAACCATCAGCGATTCTATCTTATCATCAAAACAGAATGAGAAGTGTTCAAAGGTCCACCATAAACATAACGCATTTTACCTTATTCCATGGAGTTCTGTTATCCGTTTTAAGGAATGAAAAGTATGGAGCCTTTGTTTTAAAATCTCACGAACAGGTTGTGTATGACTCGTCTCAAGGAGAAAGTTCTTGAGTTATATTGTCACGCTTTTAAGTTGATATGTAAACTACTATTCTCACTTAGTTCTCGCAATAAGAAATATCTATCTACACTGTTAGGAACATGATTGTTATTCAGTACTCCAGTTCAGATTATCTCTCTGTTAAAGTGATCCAAAAAATTGCTTGCAAATGACAAGCAAGCATCAGGAATCACCAAGAGGCGTTTCATCCAATCAGCGTTCACTTGAGGTTTTTGCCAAAAATATCAAGGAAGCGAAACGTCACATGTAGAGGTTCTGATTGGCTGATAGTAGTATTTCCAGAATCTTCTAGCAATCCAAGGACATTTAAAATATTAAAAAAACCCTGTATTTTGTGTGTTAAAATGAACCTTGGAGTAAACTACTTCTCGCATACTTTGCGTCTTCTCTCTTGTGTTCAGGTCGCTGTATAGTTCTAGCTTGGAGGTTACAGAATAGCTTAGGAGACGAATATAGCGTTCAATTTGCAAGACTTATCACTCACTATGATACTAGAGTAAAATAATTTGAAATTTATGATAAGCTAGTTACCAGCTTCCTCCAAATAGAAAATATGTTTCTCAGATGAGTACAAATGAGTCAAGGATCATGGTACATATCCTTTTATAGATTGAGTACATCTAACATATATTAACGATGTGATGTTTTATGTCTAAAAATGAGTACTGACAATGTTATAATAAATAGTTATAATAAGCTTACAATTAAACTACTCAACTCAAAGATCTTCATATTACCTAAAGACCTGTTTAATATATTTTTTAGTTGAACGATTTAACTACTTCATAGTCCTTATAAATCTTGTACTCTTAAACTCTGAGAAGTGAATATAACTTATGAAATATAGAAATTAAGGGTATTTATACGAATACATATGAACTTGACACTATAGAAGCTTCTGAAAAGAACTGACCAAACATTAGTACCAGGTTTAAGTCTTGTCCAATCAACATAATGGAAATATAATTGATCATTTTCTGAAATTCTTTTAGAATTTTTCTAAGATCATTAATTGATCGATGTATTTTCATGATTTATTTGGTTTATAAAGAAATTTCCTGAGAATTGTCAGGAGATCTTAATAATTCAATTATTACCATTTCTGTATAAGACTCCTCATCATAGTTGGTACATAGGTCATATTTATTTTAATGAATCGATTGGTTTGGTGTCTTTTAGATTTTTAAAGATGAGCTTGTAGCTCTTCTAGGGCTACTGCCGGTTCCAAGCCCGGGTAAAGAAGAAGGGTTGGGCATGGGGTCGGTAATCTTATCCCGTAGAAAACAACCTTGCTCAAAACGACAAGTAGATCTCTAATTTACATCATTCATTAAGGGGTGTCTGAAATATATGGAGAGCAGATATCACATTCATTTCAAACCTGTGTCACTGAGTTGTACTGGCTGCCCATAACATCCTGTAGGATTGAATGACGATGTTTTTAGTCATAAAGTGAATTTGAACCTCACAGGGTGTATCAGTTTTTGATTGAGATCATGAACCGATTGATATTAGAATACCACCTTTGGAAACCTGGAAGCACTGGACGGCCGTTTTGTCCTATTGTGGGAACTCCTCAGCAGTGCACATCCACGATCCTGCCCGCGGGATCCGAACCCAGGGCCTTCGGTCTCGCGCGCGAACGCTTAACCAACTGGACCACTGAGCCGGCATCCAATGGTGATAGTGTCTAACATCAACCAATCCACGAAATTGCGCGATCAACTTCCATTGTACTGAGGTAGATACCTGTCTCTACCCGACATGGATTAGCTCCACTGATCACGGCTTCTCACTGAAACTCCGAGAATTCCCTCACGAAGCTAGTCACTAGTGAGCACATGTTGATTACTAGTATAGGGTTGTGGAGATTATTAAGTTTTTGATTGAGATCATGAGCCGGTTGATATTAGACCACCACCTTTGGAAACCTGGAAGCACTGGACGGCCGTTTCGTCCTATTGTGGGACTCCTCAGCAGTGTGCATCCACGATCCCGCCCGCGGGATCCGAACCCAATGAAAGTTGATCGCGCAATTTCATGGATTGGTTGATGTTAGACACTATCACCATTGGATGCCGGCTCAGTGGTCCAGTTGGTTAAGCGTTCGCGCGCGAGACCGAAGGCCCTGGATTCGGATCCCGCGGGTGGGATCGTAGATGCGCACTGCTGAGGAGTCTCATAATAGTATGAAACGGCCGTCAAGTGCTTCCAGGTTTCCAAAGGTGGTATTCTAATATCAATCGGTTCATGATCTCAATCAAAAACTTGATAATCTCCACAACCCCCATACTATGTATCAGTTTTATCAAGATTACAAATAAGATTTGATCAAAAGCACGTAAGGCCCCCTGTCTTTTGATATCTACTAGAGAACATAAAAGTATCTTGTACTCGATGTTTATCTGTTAAAACTAGTGAGTATATTGTATTTTAATCAATAAAACGCAATCACTCACTTAGAATTAGAGAAAAATGACATACACTTTAATCAGCAACATATCACCCCCAAATGACCTAGTACGGCCTAGAGTGGAATGGATAGTTCGCTCTCTCTGTCGAAATGCTCTCACATGGCCACGTGCATACAACCACTGCCACACAATTCCTACTCACTGCCTTCAACCGTTATTACTGTTGTTTACGAAATTAAGAGGACGAAAAGCGAATATCCAGCACTTTAACCGGGTTGCTGGATATAGAGAGTAGATGGTGGTTGGAGGTAGTCAACAGAAAACCCTGAACCCGAGTTTCGTGCTACTTGATACTCGTCAGCAAAGTGTACCTGTAATCTTGAGGGAACTGGCGGATTCGATCCCGTGTCATCCAGCTTCACAGTCAGAGACGTTACCATTGAGCTATCCGGGCTGTGACCACTTACTTCAGTGTCCATAACCAATCTCCATTCTTATTATTGATCATACATTTCCTGTTCAGTATTTTCCATAATAGAGAATCAATTAAGAAAAAAAATAATTTGGCACACACACACACACAAACTTAATTACAAACATGATTGAATTCATATGCAATAATAATTAAACTATAATTATTATTAATAATAATAATAAAGTACTCATTAAAGAAATGACAAAATAATTAAGATAAATACTGAAATTAAAAAAAATAAAGTTTATCTTTTTTTCTATTTTTTTCTTTTTTTTCAAAAAAAAGAAAAAAATAAAGTAAATCAATAAATTAGTCGATATGGTAACAAAAAAAATCAATAATAATAAAATATGGATAATCATCATCATCGTAATCATGATTTGTCTTTTTTTTTAACTTACTATTGATACTACTTATATATATTAAATTAAGTAACATAATCTACTTGATGATTTCTGATGTAATTTTTTATTTGTATTTAATTTTCTAATAGAATTATTTTGTTTGAATGAATCATGAGAATATTCATTGAATTTTAATGGAATTAATTTTGTTTGAAATGAATTTTCTTGAAGATTATTAGAACTTTGTTGAATAGTTGGTAAATTCGAATTGAATTTGATTGATTTAATGGAATTATCTTTAGTATTATAAGGTGACAATGTGATTTGATCTAATTGACTAAGACGTCGTGATCTATAGGATGTAATAAAATAAAGTAATAAAAAAGAATTAGAAGAGGTTTTTATGGGATATTATAGTAAATTCAATAGTTGAGATCATGAGTCAATTGAAGTTAGACTATCATGAAAACTTGGAAGCACTGGACGACCTTTTCATCCCATGACGGTACTTCTCAATGGCAGTGGATATCCACGATCCTACCTCGCGAGATTAGAATCTAGAACTTATCAGTCTCGCGCGCAAGCGCTTAACCACTAGACTACTGAGCCGGGTTTCAATGGTGTTAATGATCAATTCAAGCAGTGACCAGTGGAGTTGAATCGGGTCTGTTGTGAGATTGTAACTCATTGAAGACAATGGTGGATGTGTCACTCAATTTCGTGGATTGGTTGGAGTCAGTCATTCACACCGTGGGATGTCGACCGACTCAGTAGTTTAGAGGTTAAGCGTTCTCTCGCGAGGCCTATAGATCCTGGGTTTGGAATCTCGTGATGCGGGATCATGGATGCGCACTGCTGAGAAGCCCCGCAATAGAACGAAACGGTCATCCAGTGCTTACAAGTTTTCCATAATGGTCTAGCTTCAATTGACTCATGATCTTAACTATTAAAACAAAGAAGATTTTATAATTTTTATGTTATGAAGATTACATATTATGCAACACATTTAATCTTGTTTCAAGCTTATTAAAAATACCTTGTACTCGAGTGTGCATGAGAGTTGAGAACTATAATTTATGGATGATCTTTTATTTATTTATTTGAACACATAAATATTGGTACAAGAGTGCACCAAATATATATGCGCCACACAAAACAATGAGAGTTTAAAGGGAAGGAAGAAGATAAAAAGGTGAGGAGCGTAAAAAAAGAGAACAATAACGAAGAGATTGGTGTAAGGTAGTGTAATAATAATTATGGTAATAATGCGGGAACGGAAAGTTACGATCAGAAGAAATCTTTCAGTTAAGGGAGATACAACCACTTTTTACGAAGAAAGTAAAAGAAGGTTACAGCAGGATCGCCACTGGCTTCTATTCTAAGCCATATCTGATAACGTCTCTAGCCACTGTGTAGCATCATCTCTCGGACCCCAACCAGGGAGTCGTGAAGGACCGACAGAAGCCAGTCCTTTGCAGCTTTCTTTCATACCACGACACCATGTCATGCACTGACCATCTCTCCACTTTTTCCAACCAGTCTTTGAGTGAAGGTAAAACGACTTTGAGAATGTTCATGAACATACTGCGGCCAAATCAGGATTGTAAACCAATGTGAGAAATAAGGATTAATATTTATAGTTGAGGTTAAGGGTTTTCATCACGAATTGACATAAACTATAATGCTAAAACTCTATTTAGCCAAATGAATAAATAAATTTCGCGCTGAAATTCAACATCTGTTATCATAAATCTGATTGGTTCGTCCATAAATTATAGTCTCACTGTATGAGGTCAAAAATTATCATCATCATCATCATCAAACTGGTTTGTTTACCTGATATGAATGATGCAATAAGTTATGTAATTTAGTAATTTTACTCAACTATGATAAATTGATGCTACTTAACTTATTAACAGTGTGCTATGTATTACTGATGTTCACAGATGTAAGTAGTATATATCACTAATCGAAAGTGGAATGATTGGCAGTAGAAAGTTGAAAAAATCAAAGAGAACAGAACGAGAACAAAAGAGTGATTAAAATAGAAACGAAGGGACAACAAAATCTTAGACAATTGATGGATATTCTGCAAAAATGAAGTATTTACTTTATGGTTCTCAGATTTTACCAAGATATTCTGTTATGTTGTATTAGAATACATTTAGTTATCCTCACTTGTGTTCTCGTTCAATACAACGGAACGTATGTCGTTACGAAGACAATTACATAACAAACAATCAGTTCAGCTGTTTATTTTACTAGCAATCACCAATATGACGTGCTTCATGAAAAAGAACACAATTCTCAAGATGAATCATTCAACAAAGTATAAAGGTTTTACTACCAGTGTAATGTGTTCTATCCAGCATTAAATATGGTTTAGAACTGTTATTATTGTTGAGTTCTTTTAGATTGATGGTTGAATTTTCTTTGTCTGTCTGAGGAACAACATCAATGCCTACTTTAAGAGTTAAGTTGATGAGTTTGTGGAATAATCAAAGCTATCACTTCCATATATACTAATTAGTATTAACAGTTAAACATCTAAACTCTGTTAGGTTATTCATCTTGGAAGTCATTGGTGTTAGAATGATGTTATTTTTCATAAGACAAGTAATATTTGCAACCGTTAATATAAGAAGCTGAAATAATTATATAGAACAGATAGAATGTCGCCAGTAGTGGAGTCCAGGACATGCGTTTCGTCCACTTTGAGACTGGTCGTCTGGATGAACCTGTATGCCAATGTGGATGTCCATCTCGGGACTCCAACATTACCCTTTGCTTCAAACACCAGTCACAGAGTGGACATTAACTCTTCGATGCAGGTACATCCAGCTGACGAGTTCTGAACTGGACAAAGTATATATATACTGTAATCGACTGTTAGTCACAATTCATTTATTTTACAATCGTCCAGTGCTTCCAGATTTTCAATGGTGGTCTAGCTTAGATTAACTCATGAATTCAACTGTTAAAATATTCGATATAACTTATAACAAAATGTTTATATTGAGGTAATCTGTACAGGATGCATATATGCTAAATAAACTTAGTAGGATTTCAGTCCAACTATCAGCAATGGAATAATCTAAACTCTGTTTTCAATGACAAACATTCCATTATTAAGCTAGATAGTAGTGGAGGTGGAAGATCCACGTAGGGGAGTTGGAAAACCCTGATTCCAAAAAAGTGGTGCACATAGGTTCCAGGATCGTGAGGGAAAAATAGCTTATGAAACAATCGTTGGTCACAAACTACTATGGGACTGCATCTCCTGACGTTGTTTCACTGCCTTGTAGATCAGACCTTTCAGTAGGAGGCTCCGGGCGTGGCCCCCTAAGAGAGCTACCTGCTTCAGTTTGGACAACGGGCAGGATCATAGCTCTCACACAAATCAAGTGACTTGTGTGGCGCATATGTATTCGGTAACCCTTTGTACCAATATTTATGTGCGCAAACAAAATAAATTAATAATAAAGATATGCTGTAAAAGTAGTTGGTTATGGTAGCTGGAACATATGTTAAGTGTATGCTGATATTTTTACGAGTTGGGTGCCGGAGAACTGAGAGTAGCCTAACCAACATATTGTGTCAATTTATGAAGTTTAATTTTATTGGATGAAACTATATTGGTAGGAGTACACCACCTGGTTAGGACCTGCGAATTGATTCTGAACACTGGTTGAATATGTTCAATGACATACTTACTTACTTACTTACGCCTGTTACTTCTAATGGAGCATAGGCCGACGACCAGCATTCTCCAACCTACTCTGTCCCAAGCCTTCCTTTCTAGTTCCATCCAATTCTTGTTCATTTTTCTCGTGTCTATCTCCATTTCCCGGCGTTATATGTTCTTTGGTCTTCCTCTTTTCCTTCGACCATGAGGATTCCATGTCAGGGCTTGTCTTGTGACACAGTTGGGTGCTTTCCTCAATGTGTGTCCTGTCCACTTCTAGCACTTCTTCCTAATTTCTTCCTCCATTGGGATCTGGTTTGTTCTCGCCCACAGTAGGTTGTTGCTAATAGTGTCCGGCCAACGGAACCGAAGTATTTTGCGTAGACAACTGCTAATAAACACCTGTATCTTCTGGATGATGACTTTCGTAGTTCTCCAGGTTTCTGCCCCATACAGTAGAACTGTCTTGTTCAATGACATGGTTTGGATGTTTTCATTTTCGATTTCTTCATAAACACTGAGTTTCAAAATCCCTCCTTACATACATTTGTTGTGACGGTGGGTGTTCAAAATCTGACACTGATACATGGTATGCTACACTCTAACCCTTCAGCTGACTACTTGAGCAAGAAAGTGTATTGGGATGCCAAATAAAATGTACAAAATTCTCATTCATATATATACGACTCTAATCTTTAGAAAATTGATCGATTTCTTAGCCAATGAAATGAACTTGTCCTTTAGGTCACTCCTGATTGCCATCAATTGACCATCTCACTAGGCTACTTCTGAATGGCTCTCCATATCAACATTCTTTTTCAATTATATACTTCGACATTTAGTTTCTCTCACTACCATAGGTATCACTATTCATGATGATGATGATGATTTCATATCTCTACACCCAAATGATATAACAATTTAAGAAAAGAAATATCTGTGTTAGGTTTAATTATTTGCTTATCTTTTTGATTGAAATCATGAACCGATTGATTTTAGACCATCATTGAAAACCTGAAAGCCATGAACAGCCGTTTTGTCCCTATTATAGGATTCCTCAACAGTGCGCATCCACGATCTCATTCGTAGGATTCGAACCCAACAGTACTCAATCTCCCAAGTTACACAAAATAATAATCAAGATCTTAATCTGACGTTTTCTACCGTACACATTAAACTATTCTCTCTTCTTACCTATGAATTTTATGCAACATAATACGATATGCACCAGTGACAGCGCATCGTGTTGAATAATTATAGGAATTTTGTATTTCATCAGTGGTAATACCTAAAT